AAGGGTCTCCTGCCTCAGAGACAAAGACCTTTATTGCTTACACCACAGCAGGCAGCACGGGCAGTAGGATAATTGCATCACTTCCCTTTTCCCTCCAACTTCCATGGGGTAACACGACATGACCCAGATGGATGCTCAAAGACGGTGGGTTTGGATCACAGCTAAGGAACACTCAGCTCAGGGAATCTACTGTTTTTGTTTTTGTTTTTTTATTGTTTTTTATTTATTTTTTATTTTTTAGAGATAGAGTTTCGCTCTTGTTGCCCAGGCTGGAATGCAATGGTGCTATTTTGGCTCACCGCAACCTCCGCTTCCTGGGTTCAAGCTATTCTCCTGCCTCAGCCTCCCCAGTAGCTGGGATTACAGTGCCATCACACCTGGCTCATTGTGTATTTTTTTAGTAGAGATGGGTTTTCTCCATGTTGGTCAGGCTGGTGTCGAACTCCCGACCTCAGGTGATCTGCCCACCTCGTTTATTGTTTTATTTTTGTAGAGATGGGGTCTCACTGTGTTGCCTAGGCTGGTCTCGAACTCCTGGCCTCAAAGGATCCTCCACTTTCGCCTTCCAAAGTTCTGGGATGGCTGGGCGCAGTGGCTCACACCTGTAATCCCAGCACTTTGGGAGGCCGAGGGGGGCAAATCACCTGAAGTCAAGAGTTTGAGACCAGCCTGGCCAACATGGTGAAGCCCTGTCTCTACAAAAATACAAAAATTAGCCAGGCATGGTGGCGGGCACCTGTATTCCCAGCTACTCAAGAGGATGAGGCAGGAGAATCACTTGAACCCAGAAGATGGAGGCCGCAGTGAGCCGATATCACGCCACTGCACTCCAGTCTGGGCAACAGAGTGAGCAGAGTGAGACTCCACCTCAAAAAAAAAAAAAAAAAAAAAAAAAATGCTGGAATTATAGACATGAGCCACTACGCCAGGCTGAAATCTATTGTTTTTATACCAAGCAGTGGGCAAGCCTGCTCTTTGTCCAGGAGGAAACATTAACTTGTCACTGAAGATTAGTAGCTGTATAAACAACTCTGAGAAAAGCCCCAAATAAAGAGCATTCTTGGACCTTGCATTCTTGGCACACACAGCAAGACATGTAAGCACGCAACAGATCCATGGAGGACTTTCAATACAAAGATCACAGTAATAATAATTATTTCAGGCAAAAATTATTGATGGGCTGGGCACAGTGGCTCATGCCTGTAACCCCAGCACTTTGGGAGGCTGAGGCAGGAGGACTGCTTGAGCCTAGGAGTTTGAAACTCACCCAAGCAACATAGCATGACCTTATCTCTTAAAAAAAAAAAAAAAAAAAAAAGTTTTAAATTAGCCAGGCATAGTGGTGTACACCTGAAGTCTCAGCTACTCAGGAGGCTGAGATAAGAAGCTGAGCCCAGGAGGTTCAGGCTGCAGTAAGCTGTGTGATTGAGCTACTGCACTCCAGCCTGGACGTCACAGTGAGACTCTGTCTCAAAAACAACAACAAAATCGATGGATGCTTAAATCAGTAGGCACTGTTATGATGAAAAACAGAACAGTCACATATTTTCCCACAAAATATTTATTAAATGCTTATTAAATACAAAGAAAAGCTAGTAACTTTAAAGTAGAGCAATCTAGCAAATATTAACCAAGTGAACAAAGTTAACATCACCAGGAATGAGAAAAACTGACATCATGTGACTCTTCCTATGATGCCTTGAAAAGGACACATACTCTCTGATGTTCTTGCCAAAAATGAACAACCTGGTTTTTTTTTGGTTGTTTTTTTTTTTTTGATAACGGAGTCTTGCTCTATAGCCCAGGCTGGAGTGCAGTGGCGTGATCTCCACTCACTGCAACCTCCGCCTCCTGGGTTCAAGTGATTCTCCTGCCTCAGTCTCCTGAGTAACTGGGATTACAGGCGTGCAGCACCATGCCCAGCTAATTTTTTGTATTTTTAGTAGAGACGGGATTGCACCATATTGGCCAGGATGGTCTCAATCTCTTGACCTCATGGTCCACGCGCCTTGGCCTCCCAAAGGGCTGGGATTATGGACATGAGCCACTGCGCCTGGCCATAACCTGCATTTAAACACAAGAAAATATCAGGCCAGGTGCAGTGGCTCACTCCTGTAATCCCAGCACTTTGGGAGGCCAAGGCAGGTAGATGACCTGAGGTTAGGAATTTGAGACCAGCCTAACATGCCGAAACCCTCTCTCTACTAAAAGTACAAAAATTAGCCCAGCATGGTGGTGGGTGCCTGTAATCCCAGCTACTCTGGAGGCTGAGGCAGGAGAATCACTTGAACCCGGAAGGCAGAGGCTGCAGAGAGCAGAGATAGCGCCACTGCACTCCAGCCTGGGCAAAAGAGTGAGAGCGAGACTCCGTCTTTAAAAAATTTGGAAAAAAAAAAAAATCTTAAGGAAACATCAAATAACCCTTAGGTAAGGAACAGTCTGTAAAATAACAGGACAGTACTCAAAAAAGATGCCAAGATCATTAAAGACTGAAAAATTGCAGAACTGTTCCAGACTGAAGAACGTGACAACTAAATGTGAAGAGTAATTCTAGATAAATAGAATCCTGGGCCAGAGAGAGAACATTCATGATACAATTAGCAAAATTTGAATGAAATCTATAGATTGGATCCTGCATCAATGTTAATTTCTTATTCCAGGGTTAAATGTGATATTTACAATAGAGGGATCTGTGGGTAGAGTATGGGAATTCTTACTGTTTTTTACAAATTCTTTTTATGTTTGAGACAGGGTCTCGCTCTATCACTCAGGCTGGAGTGTAGTGCTGCGATTCTGGCTCACTGCAACCTCCGCCTCCCAGGTTCAAGCAATTCTGCCTCAGCCACACAAGTAGGTGGGAATACAGGCATGCGCCACGACACCTGGCTTTTTTTTTTTTTTTTTTTTTTTGCTTTAAATTCAGGGAAACGTGCAGAATGTGCAGTTTTGTTACATAGATATACATATGCCATGGTGGCTTGCTGCACCCATTAACCCATCCTCTAGGTTTTGTTTGTTTGTTTTTGAGACAGAGTCTCACTCTGTTGCCCAGGCTAGAGTACAGTGGCACCATCTCGGCTCACTGCAAGCTCCACCTCCTGGATTCATGCCATTCTCTCACCTCAGCCTCCGGAGTAGCTGGGACTACAGGCGCCTGCCACCATGCCCAGTTAATTTGTTTTTTGTATTTTTAGTAGAGACGGGTTTCACCACGTTGGTCAGGCTGGTCTCGAACTCCTGACCTCGTGATCCGCCCACCTCGGCCTCCCAAAGTGCTGGGATTACAGGCGTGAATCACTGTGCCTGGCCTTTTTTTTTTTTTTGAGGAGTCTCGCTCTGTTGCCCAGGCTGGAGCGCAGTGACATGATCTTGGCTCACTGCAACTTCCATCTCCAGAATTCAAATGATTCTCCTTCCTCAGCCTCCTAAATAGCTGGGATTACAGGCGTGCGCCACCACACCCAACTAACTTTTTATATTTTTGGTAGAGATGGGGTTTCACTATGTTGGCAAGGTTGGTCTTGAACTCCTGACCTCAAGTCATCTGCCTACCTCGGCCTCACGAAGTACTGGGATTACAGGTGTGAGCCACTGTGCCTGGCCTTTTTTTTTTTTTTTTTTGAGACAGAGTCTGGCTCTGTCACTCAGGCTGGAGTGCAGTGGCATGATCTTGGCTCACTGCAACCTCTGCTTCCTGAGTTCAAGCAATCCTCATGCCTCAGCCTCCCTAATAGCTTGGATCACAGATGCACACCACCAGGCTAGGCTAATGTTTGTATTGTTACAGAGACGGGGTTTCACCATGTTGGCCTGGATGGTCTTGAACTCCTGACCTCAAGTGATCCGCCCGCCTCGGCCTCCCAAAGTGTTGGGATTACAAGCATGCACCACCATGTCTGGCCTCCTCATAACATTTTTAACAGCAGTTATAATAAATCTGAATGCACACCATGTAATGCCTATGGAACTAATAACTAATCTTCTATTGTGCAGTGCTACTAGTCACATATATAGATGTTTTTGTGATTCTCAAATACACAAACCCACCTAAAAGCATCATATATCCAGATATTCACTGCAGCCTTAATAGCAGATTGGGAACAACTTAAACATTAGTCAGTAGGTGACCGGTTAGTTGTATCATTCTTTTTGAGACAGGGGCAGCTCTGTCGCCCAGGCTGAAGTGCAGTGGCAAGATCATAGCTGACTGCAGCCTCCGCCTCCCAGATTCCAGCGATCCTCCCACCTCAGCCTCCCAAGTAGCTGGGACCACAGACGTGCAGCACCACGCCCGGCTAATTTTTGTATATTTTGTATAAATGGAGTCTCGCTATGTTGCCTCGACTGATCTTGAACTCTCAGGCACAAGTGATGCCCCCGCCTCAGCCTCCCAAAGTGCCGGGATTACAGGCGTGAGCCACTGAGCCCTGGCCCCTAGTTGTGTCATTCTTACAAAGAACATCACGCAGCTGTTACCGAGGACTTCCCATTAGTCTTGATATAGCACAATCTCCAAGACACTTAAAATATAACACACCCTACAGTGTGTATTATGAATTGCCATTTGTGTGAGGAAATGATTATATTCATATATAAGTTTATAAATTCAGAAAGCATTCCGAAAATTCATAGAGTATCCAGGGGTAACTTTGTCTCTAGTGTTGAACTACAGGTGGGAGGAAGATTTAATTTCCACCACATGCCCTTTGGTGCCTTTTGAATTCAGAATAATTTCCATTATTTATTAAAAATAAAATATCAGCCGGGCGCGGCAGCTCACGCCTGTAATGCCAACACTTTGGAAGGCCGAGGCGGGAGGATCACTTGAACTCAGGAGGATCACTTGAACTCTGAAGTTTGAGACCACCCTGGGCAACATAGTGAGACCCTATGTCTACAAAAATAATATAAATAAAAAAAATATCACGTGTTACGGAATCTCTGGTATTTGGCGGGACACTGGATACTGGAAACAATTGTGGAGCTCTTTGGAAATTTACCTTAACAGGGAGTCCTCTCAAAGGCAGGAATGACTCTACAAGGGTGAGTTTTCAAATCTGCCATGGGGGCCTCGGGCCTCAGCAGCATCCAGAGCCCTACGGACGGGCACGTTCTTACGTCTCAACTCCCATCGCACCAGTTCTGCAGCTTTCTAAAGGTATCCAGCACTTTCTACCTTGCATTCTATCTTCATCTTCGCTAGGCCTCACAGCACAGAATGATCCCGGGGCAGGGTGCTTATCAGACTCCCCACGGCACCTAGGGCACCGTCAAGCACAGGGTCCAAAAAGCTCCAATGAAAGAGATAAAAGCGTGAACCCGGGGGGCGGAGCTTGCAGTGAGCCGAGATCGCGCCACCACACTCCAGCCTGGGCGACAGAGCGAGACTCCGTCTCAAAAAAAAAAAAGAAAGGCATAAAATCAGCAAACAAAGGAGACTGAGGAGCAAACCGCGAGAGTAGAGGCGGGAGGAGGCCCACCCTACGCCCTGCCCCCGCGAAGCACAAGCCCCGCCTGCGTCCTGGGCTCCCGGGTCCACAAAACTCGCCCCACTGAGCTGCGACACCGGAACCAAGGAGCACGGTCCACCGGGAACAGACTCCTCCTGTGCGCGATGACGCCGCAGCCGCCGCGCGAGGGGTGGGACCGTAGGCGCCGTGCAGCCACGGACCAATGGGCGGGCGCCGGACGACCTGTGGCCCAATGACGGAGGCGCGCGGGCACGCTGGGGGCGGGCCGGACGCGCCGACTTTTCCAGAAGACCCGGATAGTTCCTCCTGGCCACGCCGCGCCGGCTCTGGGTTCTCAGCCTCGTTTCCTTTTCCTCCGCTGGAGCAGTGATGGCGGCGGTGAAAACCCTGAACCCCAAGGCCGAGGTGGCCCGAGCGCAGGCGGCCCTGGCGGTCAACATCAGCGCGGCGCGGGGTCTGCAGGACGTGCTAAGGACCAACCTGGGGCCCAAGGGCACCATGAAGATGTGAGGCGGGGCTGAAGGGAGGGCCGGGTGGGCACCGCGCGCCGCCACGCACCTGGCTGGCCCGGGACCGCGGGCTGGAGCCCGCCGCCTCGGGGCTCCGCAGCCGCCCTTCTCCGCGTCCTTCGGGGTCGGTCGTGTTCTCTGCTAAGCCCCACCGTCCCGGCCATTTCTTCCAGCGTCGATGCCGTCTCCTGGGAGAACAAAGCGGCTCTAAAGCGCGGCGTTCCCCTCCCTTTGGGGCTTCCAGGCACCCTGAGGACTCGGCACAATCTCTGCGGGGACGGGGTGGGCACTACACCTGTTCTCCAGCCTGCGGGAGATAACTAGCCCCATATTCCTGGCTCCGTAAGATCTGGGAAGAGCCCGTTTTCTAATGGGACTTTCAGTTATCGTTGAAAAAGTCACAGTCTGATTCATTTCTGTCCCTTAAACAGGCTCGTTTCTGGCGCTGGAGACATCAAACTTACTAAAGACGGCAATGTGCTGCTTCACGAAATGGTGAGAGGTGCTCTGCTCTAGGTCAGAAAGGTCTTGATTTTCCGTAGGTGGTTTGCTTTGTAAAAAGATTTGCAGTGTCCGTTTTCAAGGCAGGAGAACGTTTAGAAGTGGCATGTAATCAGTAATAGTACTCACAGTACCTGGAGTCTGACAGCTCTGCCTTTGAATCCCTGCTTTTTTGCTATTCACAGTCTGGGCCAAAGGACTGTAATTGTATATTACAGTTAATTATTATAAAATTTGAAAAATTAAGAGAGGTTGACACAATCACATAGGCAAAATGCATGAGGATGATTTTTCTCCTTTTTTTTTTTTTAGTTTTTATTAGACGAAGTGTTGCTGTGTCACCCAGTGGCACAATCTTGGCTCACTGCAACTCACTCCCGGGTTCAAGCGATTCTTCTGTCTTAGCCTCCCAAGTAGCGAGGATTGCAGGCTCGGGCCACCACTCCCAGTTAATTTTTGTATTTTTAGTAGAGAGAGGAGTTCACCGTGTTGGCCAGGCTGGTCTTGAACTCCTGACTTCAGGTGATCCGCCCGCGTCAGCCGCTGAAAGTGCTGGGATTACTAGGCGTGAGCTACCGCACGCAGCTGGTTTTTCTCTTTTTAAAACAGCGATTTCTCTGTTAGGTCTCATCTCCATCTCCAAGTGGAGGGGATTGAAATCTGTCTCTTTGCAAGTCTTAGGGATGGAGAATATGAGATTATTGAGGGGAGTATGCGTTTTACTCATCCCCTGAATTCCCAAAACTTAGCAGTTCAAGAACAGGAAATGATTTCCTGCTGATTTGAGTTCAGAATAATACTTAGGGTTTTGCTAGTAGTGTACCAAGCTATCAACATCCAAATGAAATATCTTTAGTAAGGACTTGGTAACCTAGGAGGTGCAGTGTTTGTTTTTAGTGGGCTCAATGGTGGCCCGTGTTGGGAAAGTGGAGCATAGTTAAACTTCATGTCAGAATTGTTTGGGGGCTGGGTGCGGTGGCTCATGCTTGTAATCCCAGCACTTTGGAAGGCTGAGGTAGGTGGCTCATTTGAGGCCAGGAGTTCACGACCAGCCCTGGCCAACATGGTAAAACTCTGTCTCTACGAAAAATACAAAAATTAGCCGGACGTGGTCCTGCATGCCTGTTGTCTCAGCTACTCCAGAGGTGGAGGCAGGAGAATCGATTGCTTGAACCTGGGAGGCTGAGGTGTCATTGAGCCGAGTTTGTGCCACTGCACTCCAGCGTAGGTGACAGAGACTGTCTCCAAAACAAAACAAAAAATTATTTGGGTTTTAGTGTGTGAGAAATACAGCATAAGTAGAGAGCAGCACATTGAACATTTACAATTTAAGAAAAAATTATAAAATGGACACACACAACCACCACTGTAGCTAAGAAATAAATTGTTGCTACCACCTCAGAAGTCTCCTCCCACTGGAACCTCTCTCCAATCTCCAGAAGTCTTTCAGTTTTCTTTGAAAAAATTACAAACCTACAGAAGTAATTATGATGTGTGTGCCCTTTAGGAGATATCTGACTTATTCTCACTAGAGCCGTACACTTGCCATAAAGAGGCAAGGATGTAAAATTATTTTTACTGTTAACTGGTAGCTCTGTCATTTTGAGTAAACTTTTACTTAGCCTCAAGCTTCCTCTCTGTAAAGTAGAGATAACCTGGGAAATAAATTACGTATGAAAACGTTTCAATCATAATTGCATGTGCGTGATAGCTAATCGAAGTAATTTGTAGCCAAACACTTGGGTAGCTTTTTCAAGTAGAGAGCACTTAAAGAGGCCCTTCCTACATTTTGTTTGTGGTATATTTAGACTGCTTCATGTTGTCTTAAGTGATTCATTCTTTTTCTACTTTCAGCAAATTCAACATCCAACAGCTTCCTTAATAGCAAAGGTAGCAACAGCCCAGGATGATATAACTGGTGATGGTACGACTTCCAATGTCCTCATCATTGGAGAACTACTGAAACAGGCGGATCTCTACATTTCTGAAGTATGCACAACTCTTGTTTCTGTAATATTTTATTGTATATAGGAAGTGTCTGATACTTATTTATACAAATTGATGTGCTGTTAATAGCTGAGGCGATACAGTAGAACTAGGGGGCTTAAATCTGGGTCTTTGTCCTGGTCTAAAACAAATTGTGACCTTGGACAGGTTATGGAACCTTTCTTGGTCTGAAAATAATTTTGTAATGAAGTTGCATTGCCTATGTGATTTGTATCTGTCCTTAGTGTAGATTAATAATTTAGATCTAAAAGTGGAATGTTTAGGACTAGGAATATTTGTTAGGAAAAAAGCATCCAAAAGCTTATATTTGGATAAATTCCACTTTTTTAAGCCCTGACTAGTTCCAAGGTTAAAACAAACCTCAGTGAGTATGAATCTGTTGTCAGAATTTCCTGGAAAAAGAGAGCAGTCTTTATTAAATAATTAGTAAATGATGTGAATTAGTTTGAGATTACCTATAGAAAAGAGACTAGTCCAAGCGTGGTCGCTCACACCCGTAATCCCAGCACTTTGAGAGGCCGAGGTGAGCGGATCACCTGAGGTCGAGAGTTCGAGACCAGTCTGACCAACATGGAGAAACCCCATCTCTACTAAAAATACAAAAATTAGCTGGGCATGGTGGCGCATGCCTGTAATCCTAGCTACTTGGGTGGCTGAAGTAGGACAATCGCTTGAACCCAGGAGGCGGAGGATGTGGTGAGTCGGGATCGTGCCATTGTCTCCAGCCTGGGCAACAAGTGCGAAACTCCGTCTTCAAAAAAAAAGAAAAGGTAGAATAATGTTGCCATCTGCGAGTCCTTAGTTGGGACACAGTGTCGATTTTGAAATGATTCAGAGTGGTTTGCACAGTGAGTACCCAAGTGTGCTTTGTAGTTTCCTTGGCTTTGACCCTGTGCTAGAGCATTACCTGTTCTTCTCCTCTGCATTGAAAGGAATATTTATCCTTTTAAATGTATTCCGAAAGCCAGCACATTATATTACCTCGTGTTCAAAGGTATGATGATCCAGAATACCCCTTCAGGAATTAACTGAACTTTGTCATGAACTGTGGTTGCACCTACTTGATGCAAGTGTTAATGTGTGTTTATTGTAGGGCCTTCATCCCAGAATAATCACTGAAGGATTTGAAGCTGCAAAGGAAAAGGCCCTTCAGTTTTTGGAAGAAGTCAAAGTAAGCAGAGAGATGGACAGGGAAACACTTATAGATGTGGCCAGAACATCTCTTCGTACTAAAGTTCATGCTGAACTTGCAGATGTCTTAACAGAGGTATGTATTAAATGTTGTCTGTGTCAGGTATGGTACACCTATAAAGAAAATCTCTGATAGTAGAAACATGAATATAATTCCCAATTTCAATTACAAGGTGCTGTATAGGTTCATTTTTGGGGCAATGATACCTAATTTGTGTCTCTAAAATGAGGAAATTCAAATAATAGTATGTGTAACCGGGTTATAAAAGTAAAATTGAAGCTTTCATTAGAAGGTTTGTAAAGTGGAGATTTTGTTATTAGAAAGCTTCCAAGTTACCAGTATTTTTAATAAAATAGGAGAATTGTTAATGTTAATGTTTGGGAATTACAGATTGAAATTTCAGAAATGTAAATGACTTCAGTTGTTGCTGTTTACATATATTTGCTCATAGAAAAAGCCTTAAATCAGTGTATAATTGTAAAATGAAACTGTCTAGCCTTTGGAAAAGCAAGATGTTTCTGCTGCTGCAAATTGAATTTACTTAATGGTTATGCTCCTCCAATTGCAGGCTGTAGTGGACTCCATTTTGGCCATTAAAAAACAAGATGAACCTATTGATCTCTTCATGATTGAGATCATGGAGATGAAACATAAATCTGAAACTGATACAAGGTAGGTGGTAGAATACTGTGAAATACTAATGATCAGGCATGGGGGCTTACTCCTGTAATCCCAGCACTTTGGGAGGCCGTGGCAGGCAAATCACCTGAGGTCAGGAGTTCAGACCAACCTGGCCAACATGGAGAAACCCTGTTTCTATTAAAATTACAAAAATTAGCTGGGCGTACCAGGCGTGGTGGCACGTGCCTGTAATCCCAGCTACTTGGGAGGCTGATGCAGCAGAAT